ACAATCGGCACTTCCCACTTAAAAATACATGACAAAACAACACTTTTTACAAATATACTTAGCTGTCAAAATGTGCAATACATTTCTCAGTTCAGCTCCTATGCGACTGGCAGAATGGAGAAATTCTTCAAGGACCCACTGACATTTGATCCTGACAGATTTCACCCAGATGCTCCGAAGTAAGTCTTGCCATGTTAGAGCATTGCCACAGAGGACACAAGGAAATGGACTATATTAACTGAAGTTGTCGCTTATCTGTTTTGCAAGGCCTTATTACTGCTACTACCCCTTTTCCCTGGGTCCACGCTCCTGTCTGGGACAGAACTTTGCTCAGGTGCGTGGTGATAAAAGTGCCTGTAAATAATCAAAATATTCACATAGGCACACACAGTAACAACATACTGAATTAGTCTAATGGTTGATGGTGTGTTGTCAGATGGAAGCTAAGGTGGTGATGGCCAAGCTGCTCCAGAGGTTTGACTTCACTCTTGCCCCAGGACAGACCTTTGACCTATTGGACACTAGCACACTCAGGCCAAAGAGTGGGGTGGTGTGCACTGTCAGTCACAGGAATGATAAGAAATAGATGGTCATACAGTACCATAACATAAGAACAAACCATAACTGTCTGTGTGGTGAAATTGAGTTGTGGAGTTGCTGAAACCAGCTTACAGCAAAAAGTGCATGATTAGTTTTATTTTTTGTATTTCTTTATTCTTTGTAAAGAATAATATATTTTTCCCAGTATATTCACTTGAAATGCTGATTATGGTAATGATGAGTATTCAATTTCTGTGTAAGTTACAGTATCATTAGCTTTTTAATTTTGCTGAAATGAACCATTTAATAGCTTTTTTTAAACCACTGAGACAGTGAACCTTTTGTGCCTTTAAGGCTAATATAAAATACAGAATATGGAATTAATTGTAAATAAACCACATAATAGGATGTATAAAATGTCCTCACCATCTAATGCACATTTTTACTGATGCAAAAGTAATTTGCATTCTTTGTTTGGTACTTTAATATACCGATGATGAATTTAATACCTGATTTCACTGAGACTTTTGCGTACTTTTGGCCATTACTGACAGCGTACAGCAGAGGGCGCTGTTACATTGCAAAGAAATCTCTGAAGTACCTGTTAAACTATAGTCTCGCTCAGTCATGTCAGTAATTTTGGGAGTTTGTTATAATTTTTGTAAGAAGATTTTTAAAATGTGGCGGAAACTAATACCAGTATATTGGGGGTTATTTTGTACTTTAAAACCACACAAGTTAAAAAAATTTTGGCTACAAATGTTTAAAGATGGAGAAAGAATACCACTTTACTGATTTGTAAAAAAGTCTAACATTTAAACTTAGTGAATGTAAAGCTAACTATACCTCTCTAAGCTGTTTAATAAATTTGTACTTTAATGTAATAATAAAATATTTTAAAACATCCTTGCTTTAGTCTAATGCTCTATAAAAATAAAATAATGTTGTCCCAGTCCTGAGCTGCTGTTCCTTTAAGATGGCTGAGCCTTGTGAGGCTTCACAGGACTCTTCATCTGCCTGCAAGGGATGGGTGATACCAACATTCTTCCTGTCGATACGACACCATTAGTTTATGGTACTTTTTCCATCGAGACCGATACTTTTTGCATCTTAAAGGAAATTTACTTCCATTAATAAAATTCTAGAACCAAAACTGTCAGTATTTTCTGATATATACAGTACAAGCATATGAACCTTTACGTTTGTCAACTAAATGAAAGAGTGGAGAACATGGCTTAATCCAAGATTCATATAGCTCAGTTGCAGTTTGGGGTAGTTTAATAAAATAATGGTTCATTCAATTTTTAAATCACATAACACATCAACTGTCACATGTTCCTGGATATTCTTTGCCTTTCACGAAACTCTCCTGCAATGTCTTCTGACAGACAGCAGGTGGTGCAGGGGACTTTGAGACTTGCTGCTTGTCTTCAGTGTCAATCCTGAGCAGTCTCAGCCTTCATTCACAGCAGTGGCTCAGCTGCCCTTCCGCACTCTCTGCCTCATGCACACAGTTTCTCCGCCTCGGCAGTGTCCACTATCAGGACACCTGAACCGGCTGCTCAGCAGATGGTGGCCATGTTCGGTAAGGTCCTCTCCCTGGGCACTGCCTCACTAACGACTGGTCAGCAGAGAACAGGCCGTTCTCAGGTCTCACAGCGCCCGGAGGCATCCTGCATGTCAGGTTTGCAGTTCCAGTAAACATTCCACTCATTCACACTGTAGACTGTTCAGGCTGTGCCTTAACTGCTTTGGTCCTGGACATGTGAAACGTGAATGCAGACAGACAGCCAGAGTCACACCCTCCGCCGCTTCCGCTGATGTTGGTTTAAACTAGTCGGCCCGTGCGATGAGAGGGGCAGCATGGGCAGTGTTAATAACACCCTCAACAATCTTCCTGATCCACACACAGGTATGTTAACTGCTGTAGGGGCTTCTCTGAAGACAAGACAGTCATATTGGCCGGGTCACAAAGAGTGAACTGTTTTATGCTCTCGTGTCAATTAGTGATCTGTCATCTTTGAGAGGGATGCTGGACACCAGCAGTATGTCATGTACACTCAGTAAAATAGCAGAGGCCAAACTGAAAGCTGCAGGTGTCACCTTGACCCCTCAACCTGTTCCAGAGAGAGTGGTCCTCGTCGGCTGTTGTGGTCTAATTACCCAACCTAAGTGCATTTATGAATTGAACATTGAACTTTATGGGTTCAGATTTCAAATACCGGCTTTTCTGGTTCCTGGACAGAGGTTCTGTCCTACTGCTTCCTGTTTCAGGCTCTTATTTTGTCGCCACTTCCTGTTCTAGGTTCATCTCTGTTATGGACTGCTTATAATGGAGTGAAAACAGATGTAGGCAAAGAGCACTGATTACTATAAAGAGTCCAGAACAGGAAGTGGTGACAAAATAAGAGCCTGAATCAGGAAGCAGTAGGACAGAACCCTGACAGTATGAGCTCATTGTTGGCACAAATGTGCTCCGACCAATGATCCAGAAAATGAAGTCTGATGCGAAATACTGGGAGCTACTTTCTTCTCACACGTCTGACCTGGAATGTGAATAGTTTCTCCGGTTGCTGAGTCGCACCTCCTGGTGGACGGGTCCGGAAGTGCCTGAAAAGGTAGGGACAGTGAGGCTTCGACCTGCTGTCACATTACTGCCACAAAAAGAGTACATTGTGTGGGGTAAACTGCCACCTTCTGCCCCTGTGTCACCTGGGAGCACCGTCATTGTGGAGCCCACGTCTGCTCGCTCCACGCTGAAGAACATCATGGTCGGGTGGATCATCACACCTATGTGGGGGGATCATTGGATCCCAGTGAAGATCCTTAATCCCACACAAGACCCTGTTTACCTTCCTTGCTTACACATGGTAAAACTGTACTGATGATTGACCAGAACTACCGAGCCTTGGTTACTTTAATACATTTATTTTCCTTGCATGTATAGTTTCCAATTGTACTGATGAGAGTCAAGTGATACTGAAGTAGAAACTGACTACTTTAATTTCTGTGTACACAGTGTTTGTATTCATGAGGTCCTGCTTTGTCTTGCAATGGGATTACACAGATAGGGGGTCTGCAGCGCAGAGGATCCATTGTTCAGCTGCCGCCTGGAACTGAGGATGCGCGATCTACGGAAGTACCTCTTCAGACAATTTGCTGGCCGCATTCATAAAAACAGGTAAGCAGAATGCCTTTTCTATAATATAGAGAATTTCTGCACATTGGGCACTCTAAAATGCTGAATTGTCTGATTGAGGATCTTCCCCGATCGGTAAATTGTTTTAAAAGAGAAG